GTAATGTCTGTAATATCTGCAGTATGTGCCATCCAGGAGGCATTCCACCTTAGCTGGGTTCTTTTGAAATAGCCAAAAAAATAAGAAAGAAGTCTTGGTTTTGCTTCCAGTGGGGCAACTGCTCTGGGTTTCCCCCTTGCTTCTCACCACAGCTGGGTATCATGAATATGTTTTCTTTTTTTAGAGCATTAGGTCTGTCGGATGCATCCAACTGTGAGCTCACAAACTTGCAAAACGGAAGCAGTGTATGGGGAAGGTGTTTTTCTTGTTTCGTTGACTAAAGTGCATGAATCTGCTCCATCTCAACAAGACAGAAAAACACACAGATCTTTATGCAGCATTTCCTCTTCTGGCTTTTTTTGTGATGTTCAGGATTAAAAGTTGTTTTTCACCTGATCTGATAGGCGAATGTGCTCAGCCACTTTAAACGTCCGATGCAAATCAGTGGAGCTGAAAGACGCTTTGTTGACAGTTCGGGTTTAGTAATGCAGTGGATTAGTCAGAGAAGCTGATTTATTTCTGAGGTTGGGACTGTGTTAATGGAATGTGCCACCGTCTTGCCCTTTGCCTTGTTCAGATGGATGAATGCCCAATAATCTACATGGTCTCTGTATTTTCTCTGCTCTAGTTTAAAGACTCCGCTGCTTAGGTCGTCCCCGCACTAATGCCCATCCTCGCAGTGGTGCGCTGATGCACATTTCCTTATGCTCTGCATTATTCATATCCACCAATTGGTTTATTAGCTGATATTTGTTAGATTAAAGGCTACAAGAGAGTTATGCAAACGTGTTAGGAAGAAAATCATTACAGCTCAGTGCGCTGTCTTGTACTTGAAAGCTCATAGGTTCAATTTCCATAGCTCCCAATGACTTATGAAGTGTGATACAACTAGATGTAAGATACAACTTGTTTTCAACAGTGTCAAATTAAAAAATAGGGCATTTGTGAAATAAATAGTCTTATCTAATCTAATTTCCTAAATTCCTTAATTTGTATAACCATTAGTCTAAAATCTCAAAGCTGATCAGTGTACTAAAAGAAAATGAGTAAAGCAGGCTAAACGTGGGATTTTGGATCACATTTCATAGATTGTGAGGTAAATTATGTGTGAGTTTAATGAGCAGTTATTGTTGTAACTGCTTGGATCCAGCTTGGTTACTTCCATGTTTTGTTTTTGTGTTGTTGACCTGGCTCAACTTTAAAATAATCAGCAGAAACTGGCTCGCATTCTCCCAAGAAACTCACAATGTAGACGCACTACCTTGTTTCAATTCCAAGGCAGTTCAATGGTGTTTTAATGAGCCACTGACTTTCACTGTGCATTCTAATGGTCCTGTGCTTTCCTGGCTCACTGTACCATTAATGGTGCATGTTGTTAATTCATTCTTGTTGGACGAGCAGCCCAGACTCATTTGTGATATTTCTTTTGTATTCCGTTCTGAGGCTCGAAGTCTCTGTTTCATTTCCTCGGTTTACTCTGCAGCCCTGCTGTCCATCTCCTCCCACCCTCCTGGCATTTATTTTCTTCTCCCTCTGGGGAGTGATTCTCCCCGACATCGCTACACGCCCTGGCCAGATGTTGAAACTTAAATACGCCATTCATCAGCCCACAGACTCAAGTAGGAGTATAGACAGGGGCGATGACCCTGGAAAGACATTGTTAGTATACAAAGCTCACACACTCACCGCCTTTACTCATAAATTCTCTTCCCACCCTGCACATTTAAACCAAGACATTTCTGGTGTGAGTAACTGTCCAATTTCTGGTTCTGAAAAAGGCCTCTTGAGAGCTTAAACTTCAAAAACAAGATTCTAGTGTGTGATTAGAAATGAAGATTTGCAGCCAAAATCTTTTTCATTGAGGCCGATTTATTGTGTCCATTATTTTCTCTGCAGTTAATTCCAGAGTAATGGTATCATTCAAGAGCCAGATAAGTTACTGAACTTGGTTTAAAAACATAAAATTTAAGTCCTTGGAGCCTTCTGTCATGAACTCTAGATCAAATAAAATCAACAATTTGAGTGCCACAGATTTGCCTGTGTTCAAGTCCTTTTTTTCCGTTTAGGAACAAATCTTGTAAAATTGTTGGAGAAGCTCACCACTGTGAGCTAAAGTGACGCTCTTTCCTTCATCTGGAACGGCAGTAACACTGTAACCACTGAAGCTTAGTGGTCAGTGTTCAGTGCTGCTTCACTTTTTCCATAACTACTCTTTGCCTTTCGCTTGGGAACTCACAAGCGCATGACTAAAAGTCTCATCTCTTCAGATGTAAACTGTTGCTGTTTATTGGTGACAGAGTTAACATTGGCAGAGGAATGCATTTATTTCGCTCTCTGGACGGTCATCTTTAAAGACGTGACAGATGGATGTTGAATAGAGATTGACTTAAGAGGGTTCTGTGCGTGCGTGCACTACTCAGACCGACTGTGCAGAAAATACCAATGCCTAAATCTGAGAAATCGCCCATGCACAGATTTAAAGTATTTTAAGGCCTCGTTTCAGGTTTTATTGCTGGAATTGCAAGCATGGCATTAACTTTCTAACAGACTTTATCCTATGTTTTTTTTTTTTTTTTTCTGGGGTTTTTTTGTTTTTGTTTTTGTTTGTTTGTATGTTTGTTTTTAACTGATTGTTTATGTAACAGAATGGGAGTTTGCAGTATTCTCCTTTTTAAAGTGAGGCTTGATCTATCTCAGTTTTTCTTTGTCAGTTGCTAGTCACATAAAAGCTACTGGTCAATCTTGTTGTTGACAGATTATAGCCATGAAAGGTTGAGACACAGTTGACAAAGGTATCAGTAACCTCATTAGCTGTATAAGCCTTAATTAAACCACTACTTCAAAGCTGCATCATTAGAGCATCACCCTGAAGTCTTGAGTATTTGATGGGCTAAAAAACAAGGCTACAACAGTTTCAGTGCACAATTTAAAAAATAAAAAATGAATGTCTATAGCTACTTCTGAGTTTGATACAAACTGATTAGTGTCTCTCAGACCTGTAATAGAGCCACAGTAAAGTGGGGTTTCTGCTCTGTTTTGCCATGGAGGGAAAACAAATCTGAGCACAAAGAAGTGTCATGAATTTTTCATGAATTAAGACGGAGTCTCTCCAGGACCCCGCTCTGAATTATGAACTAATGCTGCCCTTAAAGAGCGCAGAATAAGTGATACATTCATTAGGACTTGGGGGGGGGGGAGGAATCTCATAATAATTTAGTGATAAATACAGATTCATTCAAGTGTTCTTACTGTCTCGTATGATCGAAATAAAGATGCTAAGGAAAAAGCTGTCTTCACCACACTGTCTTATTTTTACTATTAGGTTGTGGCCTTGTTAAAACTGACCTTGATTAGAAGAGAAGGAAGCATTGCACATGCCCGTCTGCCCAGACAAGCACAAAATATTGATTCATATGTCAGGCATCCAGTGTATCGTTGTCTATTTTTGCCTGCAAGTGAGCAACTGAAACGAAGACCTAGAAAATAAAATCCCATATTAGTTTTGTTTTCTTAAAGAGCGAGCACATTTTAATTAACAGCAATATAAAACCATAAACCTTGGCTATTGGAATCTCAGCAGAAATACTAATTTATCAGTGTAGCCCAGTTGGCTTTCTAGATTGCTGTACCAATGAGAATGGGTTTTATCAGCCTGATTAGGGTTAATTAATTTAAGTGTTATTCCATCTGCTATTGACTGTAGCAATGGTCTAAACTGATTACATTTAAAAATATATTTTACAACTTTTAACATGTAAACGGTTGGAGTCCAGTGTGACTCGAAGATAGTTGAACTTGTTTTGCAGTGTCAGGCCCAAACACTTTATATATGTCGTCCACTTTTTTGTAATCTCATTTATCTCACATCATTTTAAATAAACGAAGAGTCGTTAATTAATTGAATATATTGTGGCATTTTGTTTTTGTCTGTTTTGCAGGACTCAACGCTTTGCCTTTTGATCCAGCAGCCAACAACGACCCTCTTCAGTTCAACGGTTCCAGCGGACAGCTGGTGACCGACTGTCCTCCCTTGGAAAACACTGCAGAAAACAGCAAGAAGAGGAAGAGAGCCAGCCTTCCTCCAGGTACTAACAGCAGCTACCTCACAAGTTTTGCACCACTGCTGCAGGATTGCTCTATGGTCTCAAATCCTCATTTTGCCCTCAGCCATGTCAAATTTCTAAATGCAAGAGTTTGTAACCTCAAATGGAGAATACCCCCCTTCACTTAGGAGTGCTTTGATACAACAGTTATATTTCTTACCTTTCTCCCCTCCGTCTTCCTCTACCAACATCAAATAAGTGCAATGTGAATTGTTGCATAATCCTATTATTTGGCGGCAGTATGGAAAAGAGTAGCTTAGTTCAGTCTTTGTTGTTTTCGATTACCTTGCCATGTCCTCAGGCTCTGGTTGTCAGGCCTGTTTGGAGGTCAGGCAGCTGCAGCAGAAAAAAAAAAAATGCTCCGGTGAGATTGTGTGTACGCGCCTGACTGTCTGTTACCGTGCCAACACAGGCTGCCAATCACAGCTCCAACACAGCTTCAGTTTTCTCACACAAACACTGACCACAGGGAGGGACACACTGAGAAAAGTGCATACGCGTGCATGCGTTTATGTGAGGATGTGCTATAATTAAACAGTAATTTGAGTAAGTGTTGGTGTTTGCCTGGTAATGTGTCAAATTAAAAAAGGACTTTCTAATTAAAGAATTAAAGAAGTACTGACTAATTAATTGCTTTGTAAGTAATAGAACAAAAAGGCCCTTAAGACAGAGAGGTGTTGTTCTGTGAGCTCTGCTTTCGTGGCAATGCTAATTAATACTTCACATTAGCGCAGTCTTAATCGACTCTTCATCTTTTCCTCACATCTTCACATGAACGAGTCCATGACTTGATGGCAATTTAATTTTAATTCGCTGACCACGCTAAACTCTAATTGGGCAATGCATCTTAGATGATTGTAGAAGGGCGGGGTGGGTGTGGGGGGTAGTGAAATTGACACCACATGTTGACATGTGGGGGAAATAAAAGAAGGTAGCGATCGGTAAAAAGCCTTAAATTAGAAAATGCACCAATTACCAAAAAACAATGCTTTGTATTATTGCAGGAGTTTGTTCAAAACTTATAAGAGACGTTGGCTTAATACAACTTTTCAATTAAGAAAAAAATGTCTCCACTGTGTTACAAACCTCCTAAAATGAATCTATACAGATAAGTTTATGAAGAGAACATGATGTGCAAATGTAAACAAACATGGAGCTTTTTCTTTTGTTAGATTCCAGTTTCTTCATGATCAATGAGCTCTCACTTGTTAGATTTCCCACAACAGCAGTGAGAACCAAGTATCCTACGGTCATAATGTCATTAGTTTAATGTGAAATCACTCTGTCAGTATGACCGTGCATTCACAGCAGAAGCCGAGAATATTTAATGCGTTGTTCTGCTGTCATATTTAAGTCACATTAGACGAGGCAGAAACGTTCAGTATATTCAAAAAGTGCTCAGAGCAACAGTGGTAACAGTGTATAGTTATAGTTTTACGGTTACAGTATTTTGGCTCTGTGTAACTTGGTAATTCTGCACAAAGTTATTTATATTATTATATTTATATTTGCCATTCTCTGAGAACTTGGTTTCTCCAGTATTACATAATACAAGGATGTGATCTTATACAGCCTGGGAACTCAACAGCAAGTGGCCTCAAGGGGCAATGGACAGTTTTTCAGAGCTTCCAGTGTAACCAGAGGATATCCTGGTCGAGAATTTCTATTTCTGCCTGTCAAAAAAGCAAAAGGAGATTTATTTATTTTTCTCATCCAGCTGAAGGACCCATGAGCTGATGTGGTGGTAAGGCATCCATCATCCCTCCATCCAACGCTCTACAGTTCGCAAGAATCATAAGAATAAGCCTTATTCTCCCACATGGGAGATTTGTCTTGGGTAAACGGTGCTACACATAGCTGGATTTGCATAAATAAATCACCGCTTTTCCTACAGCATTCGTCCGATTTTTTTATTTATTAATTTTTTTTCTTTGTGAAAGTCACCTGATGAATCTTCCTTCAAATTGTAACCAGGGTTAAGATCGTATAAAATGGAAAAGTGGCTGTTATTTTACGTGTGGATGTCCATTTTCATAGGAATCTCAATTATTTTTAGAGTCTTGGTCAGATTTTCTGCAATGAGATACTAATTTGTTTCGGATATAACACTTGCAAGCTTCCTTGACTCCTCTCTGGACTTAAATCCTCATTATTTTGTGCAGTACAGTCAAGCAGTGACAACAGAACTTGACACTTTCTTTCTGTACTTGACACATTACAATAATCTGTGAGTTGCAATGGATCATTAGCTACTTTGTCATTCTCTAACCACAGGTTGCTCAAACATAGTCTATTTTTGGAGATTTGATCTCGTATATTACAGTAATACTCAGTAATAACTGTTAATCATCAAAAGAACAGTTCTTAGAAATCACGAGTGTGCGTAAATTTCAGATTGTAAATAATATAGAGGACTGATCGTATTGCTATATACCTTTTACCAGTTTTTGCCATATTAAGTTACCTGCTGAAGCATTATTGCAGCACCGCACTAACATTGTACAGGAGCAGCCCACATTGTGTTGAAATTCCCAGTAATTCTTTTTTATGATCTGTCATTTACTTGGTGATATAGAGGAGCACTGGTTACCTCTTATGTTTGACCTCATCCCATTGTCTAACCTGTATTGACACTTCTTCATTGACTTTAAGTGTAGGGGTCTTTGCATTGGAAGTGTCTTAGGTTGGTGTCTCTCACTGAAAAAGACCCATTCAGTGTCAGACTGTCTTTAACTAGTTTCTTCTTCTTCTCTTGACTTTTAACGTGATTCTGTTGGACTACATTGAGTCCAAACTGACAAATCACAAATCTAGCTGCCCCATGTGCTATTTCCAGAATTAAATTGGCTACAAATTAGCTTTGACTTGGCGTGGTATGACCTGAGAGTCTGTTATTTCTGCCTTCTTGGTTGGAGCCCTTGCAGGACTAGCAGGTAAATGGTGGCCTAGAGCAGATGGAGCTGTGAATTTATCGGCTTCTAGGGTTGGATTCTGTCTGGCTTTTGATTGTCTTCACCTGGTCAGGTCCTTGAGCCCTCTGAAGCACTGTGACTCATTAACAGCTGTATTGACTGAGTCTTGTTCAGGAACTCAAATAGAAAGAGTTTTCTCATTACATGTACAATTCTTGGTACTCTAGTGGCATTATAAAGCAGCCCCCTCAAATGTTACACAGCAGAATTGTCTTTCACTAACTGATGTAAAATTTAGGGAATTAACAAATGAACTAACTGACATGAGAAGTTGAAGTCATCACAGATTTGATGGCTTGCTTTGGAAAGATTTCATTTTTTCTGATGACATTTCTTTAAATCTTTGAATTGCCACTCTAAGCAGACAGACACATAGGGGATGGAGCACTCCTCTCTTGTAAACAGTCAAAAAGTAACATTTGAAATTGAATTGATGTTCTGTGGACTCGGCCTTAAAATAGACACAGTTTGTCAGAGTCACTTCTCTCTCTGACTCGATGTGACTAACTCCATGTTTTTATTTACTTCAGTATGAAAAAGTTCCAGAGAAATTAAGTTCAGTGAACATCATATCACTTGGGAGGTCATTACCAGTTGGTTATTACTAAAAAGAGATTATTGTTGAGCTTCTCTGTGCCCAGTAAAATTTTGTTATACTTTATTTAGTTTTTAAATGAAACACTAACGCACTTTTTCCCCAGCGACCATTCCCTCTATAGTTCGACTACGCACTCAGCCACCATGTTTGCTCTTTATTTTCTTAGTCTTCTCTGTTTATGTGCACCCACTCTGTGCGTGTGCCTGTCTTTTAACCATCCATAATAAGTGGTGCCTTAGGGTTAGCAGGCGCACTGCACGGATCTTCCCTATACTGTTTGTTATCAGTTTTGCAACACAGCCAGAGATGCCCATTTCCCCTCAAGTCCTGCTGTGTTTAAGCTGCAGGTGGTGAAGAGAATGAGATTTTTAAAATGATGCTGCTCCTGTAGTGGAGCAGTTTTACCCTTTATAATGAATATAAATATCAGTGTAGTAGCAACTGCACATGCTGCATTGAATTATGTCGTGCCTGTTGCTCATGTTAATGTAATAGTAATGATAATCAGAATTTGTGGAGCAGTTTCCAAAACAGTTTTGTGTGATTTAAAGAGAGCCAAAGTTAAAGGCATTCTAATACTTTGTGATGTCAAACTAAAACTGAGTTACCAAAAAACCGAACAGGTGAAGGGGAAGATGGAAATCAATTTTATTTTTTAAGGTATTTCTGTTTAAGACTGACTGTCATTTTTCAGGCCTTAAAATGAGGGTTTCCTCTGCTGTGGGCAGGCCCTGTCAACTAATGAGGTGTGATTTCAATCGCAGCGCTGTGCCTCCAGCACTTAACTAACATTCTTGATCTCATGCAGTCTACAGTGTGTTAGTGAGAGTTAACACAATGCTAAGAAACACTCCTACTTAAAGGACTTTAAATTAAATGTGTTTTCATGGAACCCAAATATGTCTGACATGAGGACAAACTCGTAAAGAAAGGACTATTTGGATTGGCGAGTTTAGTTAGCATAGTTTGACATCTGTATGTCCACTGCAAGCAGTGTGTCTGCTCATTGCAGTAACAAATAACTTTGTGTGGAAAACGCTCTTTGAAGGAGAACACTTACCCTTTGGCTGATTGGGTTTCAAGCACCCTTGTAACAAGGTTGTTTGACTGGGAAAAATATTGAAGTGATCAGAGGGGAGGTATATTTTCAAACCTAAGGCCATGTGTGTGATTTTTATCCGAAGCATTTCCAATGCTTAGATTAAAGAAATGCCCCCATGAGTGTTTTTCTTTTTATTGGTTTTTTTTTTTCATTGCATGAAAATCAATTAATTAAATTTCAACACGAATGCCATTTCACTAGCATTGTTTTAGCCAATAAAAGAACTGTGCTCTAACCGATCCAATCACGTATGCATTAACCTTTAGTGAGAAAGGAATTGAATAGAATCTATTGATTCTGCAGGAAAAAGGTTAATGTCATTTAGCCAAGGAAAATAAAAATACATGCTGCGCAGGTAGGTAGTGGTAACAATTGTCAGACAGCTTCTGCGTCATAGTCTGAAATATAGCAGCAAAATTATATGGACAGTATATATTATTGTATCCTAGTGGGATGTTATTAATGTTAAAAATGTTATTAAATATATGTAGGTCTGACTTCTTTCTGTTAAACATGTATCCCACCTTTCTTTTATAGAGAGAACTTTATTACATATATTAAATATTCGACATGTGCAGATTTATCTATACAATCTTGCATCCTAACAACCATCAAATGGCTCAGCAAGTTTTCATATATACTATTTATACAACTACTGTTTGGAGAGGTTTCTCAGTTTCTGTGCCTCGCTGTATTCAGTCTTCAGTCTCCTTGAGCCTTAAGCTGAAATCGTACCTTTTGATGTATGCATATCCACACGGATCTATCTGATGTAAAATGCATCACCTGCCCGTGTCCACAAAGGTTTGGACGCCCATATATGTATGAATCTATGTCCCACTGTTAATGCATGCAGACAGGAAGCTCAATATAAGTAGGAGTGCTTTGTAGCTTCCTGAGCCACCAAAGTGTTAGCTACAATAAAGATATGTTAAAACACAGATTTATTTTTTCCTGTGGAAGCAGGTGCATCTCTCTCATGTTGCTGAAGCTTGTCTAGTCAGTAAAAATAGAAACAAAAAAAATGAAGGTGTCCGAGCTAGAACGGTAAACCTAGCTCATCTCGTCATCTGTCAAGGCGCTGCGCTGGCCAAAAACATGCCTGGACTCGACTGCTTAACATAATGTGACGGATGTATTTGTGCTACGTAGTTTTGCAACCACAGTGATTTAAGTTTTGAAATCCTGACGAAGAACAAACCATTGCACAGCACTTTATTTTTGCCTCTGATAAACAGCTGAGCGCTATAAAGGAGAGTAGTGTTGACTAACCCGATGTCGTAACGGTTTTTTGTCATACCATTTAGCCAGTACAAAGTCTGAGCGTGTAGTTCACACCCTGTCTTCTACTGTGGCCTGCTCGTGATAAATGGTTTCCACTCTGGCTGTGTGGAGCTCCAAAACACCAGAAATAAACTTCCGTTCAGTAAGCTGAATGTTGAAAAGTGCTTTGTAATAGTTTTGAGAACTACAGGCAGTAGTATGCCTTTTTGTGGCCCTTTTTGGTTGTCACATGGGAGGGTAATGGATTTGAGTATAAAAGATGTAATGTGATGTCACTGACCCACCAGTGGTAGGCAAAGGGTCTATTGGAAAGTAAATTCTGTAATGGGCTACTCAAGCTGTCGTGGATGACAGTCCATTGAGATATATGACTATGTCATTGTCCTGTAGAGGTGTATGTGTGCGGGTAAGCTGACTTGCATGGCGCGTGCTGAGGTGGGGGGAGATCTGCAGCGGGATGTCAGTCTTTGTGATGCCAAGGCCACACAGAAGATTTAGAGTGATGCTGATGGACTGGAGACACTAATGACAGATTGATGTTAAAAAGAACTCATTAAGAGATTAGCAGGATGCATGCAGCCATGCAGGGGAATTAAAGTGTAATGACTTTCTGAGTTCTGAAGTGACTGTTCTAGATTGAGCAGCTGCAAGTTTCTGAAGACAGATACTCTACGCACAATGTCTACAGAGTATATGTGTTTTAACTCCAGGAGAGAATAGTGATTGAAATGCATGTTCAGCTCCTTATTCTTCTGGGACTCTTCTATTTCACTTGCAAAATAACAGTTTAGTTATCTCTACTCCTGCTGAGGGAAAGACGGAGAGTGCCATTGTGTCACTGTGAACAGTGTGTTCTTGCACAGTTATGTCAAGCAGCTTTTAGTATTTAGGAAACTGTTAATTACAGCAGTTCCAACAAAAAGACCACGTATACAAAGCGTCTGATCCAGGTAAACGTGCAGTTTCTAGATCTATTCCACTGATGATCGTTGAGCAAGAAGATTAAATTGATGTTTGTCCTCCTTTTTCCTTTTCCCATTTGTCATCCTTATATTTTTTTAATCATGCTGTCTTGCTCCCTGCCACTTTTCTTTCAGCTGCAGTGGTCAGGGATTTAGTGCCATTTCACCCCATCTTGCAAAGCCTGCAAACATGAGACCTAAATAATTCAGTGCCAGCAGGCGCTCAGCTCTGACGTGTCTCTAGACTTGCACTAAAGTTAATGGTAAAGCCTTAAGCAAGGTTCAAGCTCTGAAAGTATAAAAACAGAAATATTCATTTGGCTGTCATTTTTGTTCATGGTCAAAGCAAAAAACAAAACAAAACCCAAAAACCTGCATTGCTTTGCAAATGGTCCTCTCGGTGTTATAATTCGTGCAGTGTAACAAGAAAGGTGAACAATTAGTTGCTTCTTCATGCCTCAGCCTCGGGGAAATGACCAAATAAGTTTTATTTTGGGGCATTTTCCCATCCTTATAATTAGTCTTTTCTAAATTGATTTCTAATCAGCACATGCCCTGCAGGCTTAAATTTTAGAGTTTAGCAGTGAGCTACCTACAGCCCATAAAATGCTCAGTGTTCATTTTGGTATAAACTTTGATAAACAGTTAATTGATACAGAGAGAATATTTGATTTGGGAGTATTATTGCATAAAAACAACATAATGCTTTATCCAACATGCTAAATGCATTGGTTCTCCTAAAGCTGGAATAGACAGCATTTATTGGCAACACTTGACAATAAACCCAAAACATTTTCGTCATTATTTTGAGAAAGAACTACGCTTCTTCTTCTCCAGTTGGCTCTATTTTTAGGATTTAAAAAAATCTAGGCCATGACAGAAAACGTTGGCCAGTAACAGGTATTTTCAGATCTCGGCAGAGACGTACTATAAATTAGCATAATAAGCTGCAGCAAGATACATGCTTTTATAGACCGTAAGCTACAACAGTAAGGTGGTTAATGGATTCTCCAATTAACAGGCAAGTTATTTTCCCCCAAACTCAATACACTAAAAAATATATGCTTCTCTTGAATTTCATGCCAGCAACATGTTTCTAAAACAGGGACAGGCGCATCAAGACGCTGGAAAACCAATTATTTTGCAACAGGTCAGCAGTGTGATTGGGATGTTCTTTTATTTTTTATACTCATAGCGACAGTCTGTCACAAGTAAGGATGGGCTTTCGTAAGCAGCACAGAAGGAATTCATGGGCACACAGTTGCGCAGTTTAAGAAGTGTTTTTTAACATGTGACTGCAAACAGTGTGAAGACCTCATCATCTACAGTAAATAAATGAGGGCGTTGTGATGGTGCGCTGCCACCTTACTGCAAGAACATTCTTGTTTTGAATCTACCACATGGCTGCAGCCTTTCTGAGTGGAGTTGCTGGAAATGTGAGTTTTTCTGCATACTCTGGCTTCCTCCCAGAGTCCAGCGATATACACATGAGGTTAATTGGTGATTCTTAATTGGCCAGCAATTAGTCTGAGAGCAAATAATTGACTGTGTCTTTGTTAGCCCTGTGATAGACTGTCGACCTGTCCAGGGTGTACCCTGCCTCTCTCCTTATAACAGCTGACATAGGCTACATCCCCCGGTGACCCTGAATTGGATAAGCAATTAAAAATATGGACTACACATTAAAACATTATGAAATTTGGGGAATTTTGAAAAAAAAACAAAAACTTATGTGTACAAGGGCTGACTACCAATAATGAATAGCCATAATCTTCATCCATTAAAAACGTCTTTGTTGGAAATCGTTGCGTGGGCTCAGATGCTCTCCTGAAACTGATTCGGTGAACACAGTTCAGAGCTACATCCACAAATTAGAACTTTATCTTGTAAAGAAAAGACTCCCATGAAACAAAATCCAGAAACACTGCTCATTTTTCTGAGTATGAAAGCATTTTAGAAGTGAAGCTGAAAACTGTCCTCGAGTGTTTTCAGCACACAGTTCAAAAGCCTGCATCCATGACATTCATAGGGCTGCATTAGTGCACATGACATGTGTAAACTGAACATCCGTCAGGGTTCTGTTAACGTTATATATACATATAAAGGTTTGGGAGGAAAATATGCTGCCATCAAGATGATGTCTTTTTCAGCTTAAGCATTGCTTATTTTAGCAAGATGATGGCAAATTATATATTTTAAATTATTTACACTATGACGGCCATAAAATAAAATGGTCTTGGTGCTAAACTGCCATGCATGTATCCCGTACCGATCCATTCTCTTAACCCTTTTCCAACCCAGGTCACTGGAGAACTTTCATGGACACTGGAACAAGAAGCATACACCTTGGCACCTTAGAACATGTGGAATAATAATACAGAAAGCCTGTACGTTCTCTTTGATTTAGAACATTTAGTATATTTTACCATTTAGCATAATACAGACTTTAAATTACAAAGCTGCTTGCGTCAGTGTCCCGACCGTTTTGAAAAGAGGGTTGTACATCTCCAGAAGAGGGCTGTAATCTACCCAGCACTTCCTCTGTATCTCAGCCCTCCAACCCCCATCCTCAATTTAGTTGAAATAGAAGCTGCCATTTCCTCCTGTTGAGTGCATGTTTCTCTAACAGAGAGGGCTGGCCTGAGATTCAAAGGCTCAGATGGTTCAATTACAAATGTAAAGGCAATTGAGAGGTTTTATCTAGAGTGTTTTTCATGAAGCCACCAGCGATTGTCAGATCTCTACATGTCTGAGATTGCTTAAAACACCAAAGAATAACTGCTCTCTCAGAAAGGTCGGATTACTAGATGAATTATTTATGCTGTCCATGTGGATGAGGTTTGTTTCTATTACAGCTGAACCAAAATTGCTTTACACAATCCTTTGGTGTTTTTTTTTAACTCTTTTAAATGGTACCAGAAGACTGTTGAACACACAGACCAGTGTTCCTTCACCACATAATCGGAGATGAACATGATACAGGAAGTGGTATGTTTGGCTCATACATTCAGAGCTTGAGTTTCTTGGGAACCTAAGCAAAACAAGAAGGGGCGCAAACAGTTTGGACACGTCATAGTTTTCCTTGTTGTCTCGTTGCCTCCGTGTGAATGAAACTCTCCCCGTTTTAACCGGTATTGTGCTCACAGCAGCATGTTCATCACAGACGCCCCACAGCTCCACTTCTCTTCTATTAATGCCCCGCCTCGCCTCGCCTTTCGCCCATTCCTTCTCTCCTTCGTCTTTTTCCCCTCTAAGCCTGAAGCCAGTTTAACTCAGCCACACCAGCTGCCTCTTACTGCCTGACATTATTGCCTCTTCTTCGCCATCCTGCCACCATCTTTCGAGAGAGTGGTTCAGAAGTAATACTAAAAAAAGAAAGATGAGTAATTAATCAATTATAAATTAGCCTAATTTATTTGACTAAATGTGAGCTGTCATCTGACTCTTAGATTCATAACAGCATGTAGGTTGTGTATGCTTCTCTAATTTGAGATTCAGGTAACGTGACGAATTTCTTATGCATTTGCTCGGCTAGAAAGGGACCTCTTTGCACCTGAATCTTAGCAAATATCAGAGCATTTTAAAAATATAATTTAGACTGCGAAGGACTGACAGTTTGGTTGACGAGAGGCCGACAAACCGATGGTCACCAAGCCAATGAAACTAGATCAATCACCCATTCACACAACAGCTGGATCAGCTGTTTTCATAAGTTGCTTGTGACTGGCAGAAACAAATTGGTATTTTATATTCATTACAGTTGTAAACACAAGCTTTACAGCTGAAGTGTGGCCTTTTCAGGCTAACGCTAATAAAACATCTTTGTCCAAAACAAAAATTCCCAGCGGTGAATCATTTGCTCAGTTACTGTTCCACAGAGCACAGATGCTTATTATTGAGTTATCTTGGATTATCGGATTTATTTGATTCATAGCTTGTGGTATAGCAGGAAAAAACAGGTCAGCTAGATCGCAGAATATAATAAGACACATGAGGTTTACGGCATATTTAGGATTCTTTTGTTGTTTTTGTGTTTATCTAAACATTGGTTCAAAATCTAAAGACAATCAGTTCACCGCTAATTTATTTTCTATTCAGTTGTTTTCTTCAGTACTCATGAACATGAGTTGTGTACTCCGTCATCCTTGCAGCTTCATCACAAGGCCTGTTCAGCGATACGCATAAAGTGCCACCCATCTGTTATTATTGCATGATTGTACCAGTGTGCGCACAGCCTAGAAATAGGTATTGATGTCAGAGCTTTTCAGTAGTGAAGTAGTCTATCTGAAAGACATTTCAGGTGCAGACAACATAGTACAACATCAGAGAGAAGATATCCAAAGCAGGATTACTTTTTGACAGACAGTCCAGGGTCTTTCTCTTTTTTTGTTACGTTTGAGCAAAGTCTGAAAAACAAAAATGTCACGGGAGAGCTGCACTGTGGCTGATCACGTGCTCGGACTCCTTTGAAGAAACACGTACAGCATGTAAGTAAGCAAAGAAAAAAACCTTTACACTACCCTTCTTCTCAAGGGATACGCAGTGTGCTTCAAAAAAAAGTAAAGAAAACAAGTGTCTACATGAGGGTGCGTGTGTTTAGACCAAGAACAGATTCATGCAATAGATTCAGAAAGAATCAAATCGTTTCTACTTTAGTGAGGTAGATTTAATTGAAATTTTATACAATCGCACTCACTCAACACTCAAGCCCCTATAATAATTGAGTAAAGCTGCAATTACAGAAGTATTTGCAAATTTATTGAACTTCTTTTTCTCTTTTGAAAGCTAAATTTCTACTTGTGAAGTGATCTTTATTCATTTATCCGTCACCTTTTCCAATTTCTAAAAGACACCGGTCTTGCTGCTCTCTAGCAACAACTGGCAACACGAGCTCAAGATTACATCATGCAGGTACCTTTGGTCTGCAGTTTGAAAAGCCTGATGGATCAGAAGAAAGTCTGCTAAAATTCTGGATGTGTCTCTTTTCTGTTTCTCTCACAAAGTCTCCCAGACATCTAAGAGGGGCAGATATACTCTGCACTTTCAACATCTTATCATAAGCAACCCCCTTCCTTAACAATGACTTTCTCTGCCCAGGGTTTCGCTGCTGCTTTTCCCTTTCCTTCTTTCACTACATCCCATATTCCTCTCCTAGTACGTGGAGGCGATAATCCTCTGGGTGGATGATTTAGATGATATGCTAAGGAGTTCATAAGCTTGTCTTTACCTGCATATATTTTGTACTGTGTGCGTGGGTTGTGCATGCTCAATCTGTACTGTATATTTAAACAAGACTTTCATTTTCATATTGGAAATGTGGCCAATTTATATTCTTAATCCAATTATATGAGAAAAACATGGTTGTTGTCTGACTAGAGTTTCACAGATTGCATGTTGTGATCAAACCTTTGTTTTTGAAGTGTCACTTCTCATATGCGTTCTGGAAGCTGTAGGGTTATTGCAGCATGATGATGATTGTATCAACGCAGCATTGGCTTTATTAACACTCTTTTGACGTTCTCTTCCTTGGCCTGACTTCCCCCTCAGGTAGGGAGTGAATAGGTTTAATCTAAAGTCAGCATGCCAGATGATTAGTGTTGTTAAATCCCAAACTATGTTGTAATGGCATTGACCGGAAACGCGTTTTGAGTCAAAGCCACTGGAAGGGAAGCTCCCCTTTTTACATTTGCCAAGTGTGTCCACTCCTCCATCATACCTTCCTTCCTTTATCTTTTTCTCTGTTGACAGTTTCCTGCAGGTGCAATGAGACTTGATTATTAGAACGTTTCCTTTTGTCTAACTAAAAAGTAGAGTTTCAAGTGGCTGAAGGAGATGTGGAGACACTGCATGCACACGGTCAAAATGACGTGATTTCAGATAAAGAAACGTCAGCTGTATTCTCTTCACGACGAGTTTGTTGGAACCTCATCCAAAACTGGTTCTTTAAAAAATATACAAGCATGAAAACATGACCTGATAGAAAAAGTTGGTTCACTGCAGACAGAAACACGGTTTGTCCTTGCTTTCCTTTTAAACCTTTCTATTGGGGATCAGCTGTGAGTATGCAGTGGCATTGTGTTCGGTAACGCCGTACCACAATATGGTGCTGAAAATGTCTTTGTTGCAGCGTTGTTGCTATTCCAAGCCAGTTAAAGGGGTTTACAAAGGCAGCTCAGGTTTTTTGTCTGCCATGAGCTATGTGCTTCTGTGAGGGAAGGTATCTCTCATGGCTCTAGTCAACCATGCTTCCATTAGAAAAAAGATGATCTATTGAAATAACGCCAATGACCTCCATCCACCGAGCTTTACTAAAGAACGCATCAGACCATGATTTATTGAATGCTTCGCGTCTCTGTGGAGGTCACTGTCTGCTAGAATCTTTTATATATGGTCTTAAAAACTCATCCATACTAATATGTGTCTCCCATTAAGTTTCACGACCAGTGATGCAGTTGATGACATACAACAGAAAAATGTCTATACCTCCAGCTGTTAGAGTGATAGTAAAAAGTGATGTCCTTTAATTTATTTCGGTATTGATCATGTACTGTTGGCCTTTGTTTCGTTTATCAGTACCAGCCTGGGTATCTGTCCTTGAGTAATTCAAAAGAGGGGCCATTGCACTTACATGTACACATGTAAGATAGCTTCTTTTTTTTTAATCTTTCTTTACAGAGATTGGCGAGCAAAAATTCAGCCTGCAACATATTTTTCATTATATACTGAAATAATCAGGTGTATAATGTAGTTTGCATAGCTTTCAATTATTTTTTTGAATAACCATTTTCTACAGTCAATACAATTGACATTTTTGCTATATTTAAAAAAAAAAAAAAAGAAAAGTCCAAAAATCATTTAGATTATTTTGTAACGTTGTAATTGGAACACTCAGTTACTGTAACCATGGCGTGACATGATAAGAAACCACAAATTCACCATGCAAAAAGAAACTTTTAAAGTGGTCTCAGGAAATTGGATGCTGTGTAAAAATGTCTATTAGAAAAAAGATTGCAATGATTTGAAAATGTGTGAAATTATATATTTAATTGAAAACAGTGCAAATTCTGCATACAACATGTTAGAAACGTTATAAAGTTAAAAAGTGTAAAAACATTTCTGAAATACCAGTTGGATATCTAGACGTTTTTATCATTTTATGTAAGAAATACAAAAATTGCAACATCTTTTCTGGTTACAGCTTTTCCTCAGCTGTGGAACAGAAATGCAGAAGCATGTCGTCCATTGATCCCCACTGGAGTTTCTTGAACTTCCCTACGTCTTTCTAATCTTACACAGTAATTGATCTAAAGCCAGTGTGTTCCACAACCCAGTTTTATTTCAATTACTTTTTGATAGAGGTGTAGAAGCACCTGTGTTCGTCACAGGATGTGAGACTTCTTTTTGGTGTGGGATGTGCACAAAACATGAGCATAGCTAAGCTGAACGGCAATGATATGGAGCTCATGCTAGTCTATTTTGTCCAGTAATTTTAATAAAGTTATTTAAACACAAAGTTATTGCTTAGGGAAAAAAAAGCAAGGCAACATTACTGCACAGTTCAAAAACTGAGGTTTAAATTCAGGCTTTAATGGGGGGGGGTTTAGCATTGTTTTTGTTTTTTTTATTTGGGTTTTTTTTATATTTGAGAATTTACCCTTACAATTTTAGGAACTTTTTTTTCCTGGCATTATGTCAGGTAGATTATTCTATTCCTTGGCTGCGTTCAAACTTTACCGAGCTGTGACCCCATGCGCAGAGTTACATTCCAAAATTTTTAATACATTCTTTTAGCTTAGGTATTCAGCGTGGACACCCACCCAGGGAAAGGTGAACGAATCCTGAAGCTTTCCAGTCATCATCTGTCAGAAGCCTACTAAAATATTGCAGCTTTCAGGAAGTGTGGAGTCTTTCTGGGAGGCTTGCTCTTTTGAAGCCCTGCTATTCCTCCAGCCCTTCTTGTCACAACATTGCACTGGCAGTCGTTACAGTGACAAGCTCAAAGAAAGCTGCCTGGATGAAGAGGCGTGGCCAGATAAGAGCCCTGGCAAGTTCACTGAGCTGTTGACATTTCCTCACAGCAAGTCCCCTGGTTCTAATTGGCTACTGCTGATAAGATTCCCATGTTGTAATTGGCAGCTGCTGATAAGATGCTGTCACCTGCTGCAGTAGTCAGCAGCACGGGGAGATGACAACGACTCAGCAGTCAGTAGGCGGACAGGGCTAAATCCAGGGCCTGAACCTTGTTTTCCAGAGATTCTATTCCAATCTGGGGTTGGCGCTGGCTATGGCAATCGTGCAGACCAGGGAGCAGGTGCTTAAAGAACCTAAAAATGCGTCTTATCAATTCGTTTCTTAATATGAATGAAAATGCAGTTTCTCTGCCTTTTTTTAAAGACAATCTGTCTCTGCCTGTGCTTATCTATGCTCTTGTCATTGCTGTGATAAGGGCTGCAGTAATTCTGAAAAAGCTGTATTTCTGTGTAACAATAACATCTGAGCACTATTTAAATCTAAATGGGTACAAACTGCTTTGTGGGTTGTTTCTGTCTGCTGCTAGGCCATTATCTTATGAAATCATATCCATATTAAACTTATCTGTCATAAGTGTTGGGGGTAGCAGGTTGTTCATGCACATTTCCATGAGGACAAGGATAGGTTGTCTGGCTATTTATAATTCCTTAACTGTATCTAGGTTTTTTGGACATTGTGTGTAAACTGTAATGTTTTGAAGTAGACCACGGCAGACATAACAGAGCTCAAACAAGATTCAAAGAGATCCTGAACTACATGCCACAGACAACTGTGCTGCTTTCTGAGATATTAGGGCAGTATTTGTAGCCAAGTTATCCAGTTACTATCTCCCTGCTACTTCTCTGTGCTGATGAACAGTTGGTGATTTCAGAAGCAGGTGCAGTTTCAGGGAATGCATCTCTGCTAAACCAGCCAAGTATGGCATAAAGATCTGGTGGAGCTGTGATATCAAAACTCCTCTTTGCATAAAAATGATTGAAAACCAGAACTCCAGAATTACAATTAAGACTACAATTTAGAATGTTTAATGGTTCAGTGTATAAATATCACAACTAGATTTCAGTAGATCAAAGCTTCTGAATCAAGTGCAAAATCCTATTCATTATGACAGGGCAACACTGGGGCTTCACAGTGCCTGCTCCTGTGTATTTTCAATGCATTAGTTCTCAGTTTGTGAGAATATCACTTTGTTGGAACTTGGAATTACACACTAATCAATGTGTATTTATGAGTACAATATTCTCTTTTCAATTAAATGAACTAAAAAACTTTTAATTGTGAAAATATCTTAAGGAAAGGTCGCAGTACTTTGGGGGCTCCATATTGTAGTGGATTACACATTTACTTAAAAAGCAAAAGGTTGCTGGTTCAGTTCCAGCTGAAGATGAATATCCCTTTTGGGCTGGTGTAAAACTAGATTTTATTTGCTTTTAATCTTTGTGGGGATCTTGATACAATCACCGTTACCAAAGAATGAGCTTATAAGGGAAGTAATCTGATGTAAGGTACATCTTCTGTACCGGTTCTTCGGTTTCCAGCGGATTCCATTGTCACTCACTTCCCTATTTGGCCCACCTGTCAACAGGTCAGCATTTGGGAGGTGTACAGGTCACCTACATGCACTGATGTGCAGTTAGGATTTTGGAGGATTGCACGGGTGCGTGTCTTTACAGGTCCATGCTGTCATTAACAACGCTAAACTTAATTTGTCCAAGTTCCTGGGATAGTCATGTCACAAAGATTCACATTTTTTTCACCTTATCCCAGGTCTTTACTCATTCTTGTGCAGCTGACTGTGCTAAATCCGGGCCACTTTCTTTCTGCAGAAATTTTGGTCCATTTGGACATATCTCAGGCTATACTCATAGATTTAGCAGATGTTTTTGCTGGCAGAAGTAGCCTGAGGTCTCATGGGTATGAGCTGGAACTGCTGATAAAGACATTTTTGCACTATTGTGTCCTTAGCCTCAAAATCCAAGTAATTAATGCTTTCAAAACTCTGACTAAAGTTTCTACACTCCTCTTGACTTTACTTCCTTTCTGCCTTCCTTGAACTGCGGGCCATAGTTTCTTGCAGTCCGTATAATTTTTTTTGATTGATCTTCAGGAAGTAATTATGCTTCTGTCTTTATATACATAAGCAACTTTGCCAGGCAGAGTTTCCATGTGAAACTTGCTACAGCTCCCAGAGTTTGTCATTGTTTGTAGATGTCTCAAACAAATGCTTTTGCTCACAGGTACCAGGACGTCCAGTGTCACTGGAGTTCAGCTTCACAGTAAATTGTTATCTGTCAATCTTAAAGATTTGTTTCACACCTTTTTCTTTGCCTACTATTCTACCTAGCAACAGCAGAGAAAACACGAGTTTAAGGTTTATTGTTGACCATGTACACATAAAAAATTGTTTCATAAGGCACTTTTTTCTTATATTTTCTCCTAAAGGAAACATTTTTTTTTTTTAAATTCTGATTGAAGATTTCAGGTCAACGACCAAATGTGACTCAATAACGTTTAGCGTTTCCATTTAACAAAATTTAACAAGAACAGTGTTGAATGCCCTTCCCTGCCTCTCTGATATCTCCTTACACACAGCTCTCTATTGACTATCGGTTTCAGTTTATTGCTATTGGTGTTTCTTTATATGGAGCCAGAATAACAAGCTGTCCATGTGGCCAATAATAGTCACACTTGGAATCACCTGAGTTACACTAATGAGTAAGTGACTGAGTGCGAGCTATAATTGCCATGGTAACCACTGACAACAAATTATTTGCCATCAAATTTAAATTCGTGTAAGTAGACTGGTGATCACATGGTTTGGTTTGAATGAAATCGATCATACAAATACTTGTAGTTGCTTAAAGCCTTCGCTGTCAACAAGTTATGAAATAATTGTGCCTGAACAATTTTCTCTTAGTGACTTTATGTAATTATAAAGATTTTACAAATGCCAATGAAACGATATAAAACTGACTCTTTAAGGTAACTCAGTGGACATTCACTTTATCTTTAGGCTGAGCTGATGGAGACACACTGTCTGTCAGAGGCTTGTAATTGTTTTACAGTTTGCTTCAGGACTGTTCCAGCTGTTGATTAACCACGACCATCAAACGCATTTTCTTTCCAAGAACGGCATAACAAGCAATGGGGACCTAAAGCACTGTTACCGCAACAAAGAATGACAGTCATACAACTTTTTTTTGTTTTTTGTCTCAGGCCCTGGTCTCTAGTTCTGACAGTTTAAACTTCAAAGAAGAAAGAAAAGGGATTATATGAAGCGCTTCAACTTGTTTTTCTTTCTCAGAGTTGTCAAGCTGTCCTTCAGGCATCAATAACTACATTCAGTTCATGTCTCTTGTACTAGCCGAGGGTTTGGCTGCATAATGACTACTTTTTAAACAATGAACTAAAGGCTTCAAATTGGGCACAGGCTGACTGCAAAGTATCAGTCCCGAAGCTTTGATTGGATAGCGGTCACCGCATTCACTTAATGTATCACAGTGTGTTATGTTTTAATATTCACCTATTAAAACTGTACTACCGTGAGAAGACATGTTTTATAGGTTTGGTTTTTATGTTTCATCTATAGCATAATCTCTTCCCTAACTCACATCCTCTGATCGAGGTCTACCTCTGGCTGCCTGGCATGTTAGCAAATTTTCTTTAAGCTTTTCAAATTTATTATTATATACTGTATATCTGCTCTATATAAATACTCACATAAATCTTTACTTAGGGTATCCTTTTCTCCTGCTTATCCTCTTGGGATGATGAAAGACATGAGCACTGACAGAACTGAGGAGATTAATAAGGCCCTCTGAACTTCACACTTGGTCACTCTTGAGATTTCTGCCTGTGAAACCTGAGGGTGGAAAAAAGGCTGCAGATTTCTCTTGACACTACCTTTGTTTTAGGTTTTCCTCTGCTGTCATGCTACAGTTTACCTTAAAGAAGGGAGGGGTGGGGGAACCTTTAAGCTTGTGTTTCAGAACAATAAATAAGATCCATAGCTAATTGTGTGTCTGTGCAGTAAAGATAAATCAGGGTGAGAGGGGAAAGCTTTATTTGAAGGGCAGTAAACACCAGTATCAAGTATGTTCTTTCTTTTTAACCCTCTTCTGTGTTGAGATGATGTTTACAAGAGTGTTAAAGGGCACTGACTGGCAAATACAAAGAGGCGAAAGTGTTTGCATTCTGAAAGGAAGGTCTCAGAAGGCCATGATAGAGGCCATTGTATTGATTGTAGCTCTGTTTTAACAATTTAATTTTCAAAGTAATATCTTCCACTACTCTTCTTGTGCAGTGAGTAGCGGAAGGAGGTTCAGATTTTTAATTTAATCACCAAGAGGGTTATCATGTTGCACGTCAATAGGTTTCATAGTACATCCAGGAATGCCAGGCTTACTACTGCCTGTTGTCTGCAGTAGCACTAACCTCCAATAACTGAGCACAGAGAGATGTTTTTGGGGGTTTTTGCCTTAGACTGTGTGCTTGACATCACATGTGGGATCAATTATACTGCACAGCTGTTCAGTTTCTCATCAGATGTAACCAGCTTTGAACTACAGGCTGTAGTACAATTGGGATTTTATGCATTGTTTTCCCCTAAAACTGGAGGCTTTCCATTTTTTTTCTTCCCCCCTTGTCCAAGTTGCCATCTGATCCATCCTCAGTTGGCAGCATTTTTCACTGATCCTTGGTTTTCGCTTTCTTTTGATTTGGCATCATGGCTTAGTCATTAGAGACAATTTCATACATATTATAGGGGACTAAGCCAAGGCAGAAACCACCAAGATGACGTTTTCTTTTTTTAATTAACGTTAGCGTTTCTTGAAGTTGTAGAATTTCAAAATACAGATATGCAGTATGTGAAAGACATTTGACACGTTTCCTTTGAACAATTTAAATTCTGACAATTGGTCTGCATGATTGCATTTTAACATGAACATTTTCACATGCCGATTAGTGGCGCCTACTTTTTTTTTTTGTTTCAGTTAGTTGGCCGTGGCAAACAGAGAGAGCTGGGAGTGTCAGAGACCGGGTTAGCCTCCCTTTACAAGAGTAGATTGTTGACTTAGCGATGTTCAGATGTCATTTTAATTTAAGCGTGGAGAGCCAAGGCCTACCTTTTCTGAACCAGAGGCCATCAATACAAATATTTAATGTTAAGTCATGCACTTAAAATTTAAACTTCAGAAATTTTAACTGAAAAGTTGAATTCAATTTCAGAGCTCTTCTCAGAGCACGTAAGTGTTTAATACTTACCAACTTTAGGACCTG